GATTGCCATCTGCCACCAGCTACAGTGGGAACAGGACCAGGCACACTTACAAAAAACTGCATCAATTCACCAGGCAACTTTCCATTTGAGCCACATTGTGGATTTGATTACAAATGTTCTGGCTTACTGACAGCCAGGTATTTGTGCTCACTGCTGCTGAATTCGAACTGAAGCTATGTTCTCGCTCCAGGAGACTTGTAAGGCAAAGGAAAAAAAAAAAAGAAAAAGGCCCAGAAAAGGCCCAGAGACTGTTTTAAAAACAGTTTTGTTAAGAACCATCCTCTTCCTGTACACTTCTGCCAAATGTTAGCTAAGGAATGCACTCATTAATAATGAAATAGTGGTCATACCATCCTCTTTGTAACAAATAAGTTCTTTATAAACAAGTTGTTGTGCATAGTTGCTTGCTGTAGCCAACATTTTAGCAGCCTTGGTTACCCTTCTGTATAGGCAGCCTTTAAATATTCACCATTTAAATTGTTTTGAAAGATAGATTTTTTTTTTTTTTTTGGTTTTTGCATATTATTTAAGCCCTAGCTTGAACTTGAGGGCATGGGTGACTGTATCACACCTTTACTTTTTACTGTAAGTTGCTGTGAAGATTGATGGGTGTTACTTCTTGTCCTACAGTCTTCTGTACAGTTCTCATAGCATTAGTCATGGGGTGGATGATGAAGGAAATATTCCTTCTTTTCTCCCTTGCTGGATCTCATCTCTAATCCAGTATGCCACAGTGGGCCTAAACCAGTTGATCTAGCCCAAGAGTGGGAACGGCAGGCTCTAATAGATACCTTTAGGGTGGGACCTGGAAGGGACAGTCCTTAAGGGATCCTAAATTTACCTTCTCTACCATTCTTTACTTGTGCATGAGTCCTTAACTGAGTCTTTGTGATGTCTTTATGACCCAGGTAATAGAGAGTGGGGACAAAGCAGGGTTATGCTCTATTAAATAGCAGGCGAAGTATATCCAATACTACATGGATGAAAAATCCTTTCCTTAGGTGGCTAATCATATAAGATAGAACTTGTGGATTTGTGAGTTTTTSTATTGCTGTTCAATGTAATAATTGCTTCCTGACTAATGCTTTAGACTAAACATAATGTTCCCACATTCACTGTGAGGTCTGAGATGTGCCCTACAGTTCTCAAGAGTTTATTATTGGTTATTAAATAGGTCTCTGCATGGATGAGAGAAGCCGCAAGTGGAAATGCAGAGAGCTTTCGCTTCAATGTTAAATGATAACAGTAACATGGATTGATTTGAAACTGCTCTCAAATGGGATGTCAGTGAGCCAATGACCATGTGTCCATGCCTGGAAATGAGCTGACCTGAAAAGTGGTGTAGCCATGTAGTGATGTGACTCAGATCAGGACTATTGCATGGGCTGTATTTTCAGCTAGCTGTAAAAGCTGAATAATACCAGCTCCAGAAACTATTGGTAGCCTATTAACATTTCAAAAGAGAAAGACTTCACAAGTCCCTTGCATTGTGCATTAATATTAAATCCTCTGGAAAACCTCAAAYGTGGATTTGCAATGCTTCCTTGTGGCAGAAAAGCTTCCACGAAAAATAATGAAGCTCTATGAGGCTACAAAGAACATAGCTGAGCAAGGTTGACAGTTTAAACATTCCCAGAGAAAAACATAACCAGTAAATTTATTTGTGTTTGTGCTGAATTTAGGGGAGGGGAGGGTTATTGTATTAAGCARATGACCAAGGCACTTCTTCAGAGCAAAAGGCAGCAAAATCATGCATCTAAATGGGGATTACTGGTCAAAAGAAACCACTGGAAGTTACAGCTGTAAAAGATGCCTCACTCCTGTAATCAGTATGGGTAAATGATGCTGTTACAATACTTGGGCAGTCAGCCCCACAACTTTGAGGTGTGTGGATGGGTGCTGTGGGGAAGCAAAGAAGACCTGGACTTCTCTACACAGACTTGGAACATTTGAGGTAAAAGTGTCAAATTAAGACTGACCACATTCTGTGGATTATGTCAAAGCTATAAAAATAAGTACCTTGCATAGCTAATGTCCTGACTGAATTTAGAATCTTTCATGCAAGACATGCTGAAATTACTTYTAATGGCCGAGTCTTATGACAAATGAAATTCGCTCCTTGGTGTTCCRCAGGAAAATTATCTGCCCTACCTTGACTTTTTGTCTTTAACCTTTCCCAGATGTAAGAGGTACTGCATAAACCTTCRAAACATGCAGTGCACCCATGGCAGAGACCCGGGCAAGGGGAAAGGAGAAAGCCAAAGACGTTGTCTGTAGTTCTCCTTGCCCTAATATCATCCTACAAGACACCCGCAAAGTCCCAGGGAAGCCTGTGTCCCCACTGAGCTAAACTGCCTCAGAACACATGGAAGAAAAGGGCTTTTCTCATATTCTAGGCTCATGGGGAAAAAAACAACAAACTAGCTTATAGATGCCGGCAGTATGATCCTCTATAAGCAAGATGATATTTTTTTTTTTGATATGCAGGAGGTGTGTAGGTCAGAAGTCCTGCCTCTGTGGGTTTCACATCCTGCTTGCCAGGTATTCTGTAAATGACTCCTAAATGACTCCTAAATGTAAATGAGAAGGACATGGCTCCCCTCAAGGCAAACTGGGCAAAATAATGCCTGGCTTGAGATTCTCAGCAGAAATTAGGCCCTGAGCTCTCCTTTGAAGTTAAGAGCTGCTGTAAGTGTGCTCAGCAGCAAAACCGCAGCTTGCTGGAGAACTTTAAAGACAGTAAGTTAGGAAAAGAAGAAATTGAGCACTTACTAGCAGCTAAATGTGGTTTTTGAAGAACTGAGTTTTGAAAACATGACTAGTGCCTCTTTTGGCACTCAGATACTCCATTTTGACACAGTGCCTGTTCCGTCCACTGAGACTGACAACTAAACGTGGAAGTATTTTATTAGAAGTGAAATCATAATGTTGCAAATGCAGTTTCTAAGCACAATAAGAACAAAAAACCAAAAGTCATTTTGCCTTTTTTGGCACTGCAAAGGTGGTTTGAAAGGCAGAAGTAAGCACAGAGKTTCATTGTTTATTAGATCTCCTTTAAGAGCGAAATCAAGATCTTCTGATGAAGAGACATATGACCATCTCCTCAATGTACTGGGCGCTGTTTGAGCATCAAGTTATCATATATTTTGAATTAACAATATTATCAATCTCTCCTTTTGCAATAATTCTACTTCAAATCTATGATTTTCTTCAGTCAAGACTCAAGAAAGGTTTTATGTCACAGGAGATTAATTTTTTCAAGACAAAAMCATCACGTCCAGTTCTTATCCCCATGAACTTCAGCACCCAATTCGGCATTGTGATTGCCACTTAACAGTCCCTAAGCTCCAAAATAAGTGCTATAGCACCTAATTCTCTTTGTGATTTTGATCTACCAGGGTCTGAAATATAGGGAAATGTAATCTAGCATCATTTAGAAGTATAAATTCTAATTCTCTTTGAGAGTGGTTGCAGACCACAAACCCAGCTTCCTGGACAACTTTATTGTCTGTAACCATGTGCTAAAATGCCAGTATGTTCTCAATCTTCCCAATTTTAGCACTGTTTTGGGGATTTTTTTTTTTTTTTGACTACCTACCAGGCTTGTTGACAAGTACAAAGCTGAAAATCTAAGCTGCTGATGTGGCTGAAGCCCATTAGATTGGGCAGTGCGAATGTGAAGTGACCTTTTTTTATGAGGTTGTGAAAAAGATCATCTTTGTGGTAAGCAAAAACATCTTACCTCAGCTACTATGCAAAAAGGATCAGATTTAGATAYGCACAATTGCGTATGTCTTGTGCTAGAGCAGATGGTAATAACTCAGACCACAAGCAAGTGACGAGTCCCTGACAGAGCACAGACCACCACCAGGTGAAGCTGCCAATTGCACTGAGGACTTTTCACACACCTGTAGAGAATCATAATGGAAATGTTAAGATTGGTGTGAGCAGGAGGGTCTGGGTGTGAAAGCACCAGAAGGAGCCAACAGCAGCAGAAGGTTGATGATGAGAAGGCACTGCTTCTTGGGAGATATGTCACYGGGCTATGAAGAGCCCCATGTGCATCTACATGCAGCTTCTCAGGGTAACTGGCTGGGGAAATGTGGAACACTAAGCTATTCCTGAGGATTGACAGAGGAGGGAGGGAATGGAGAGATTGGTCCCTGCTAGCTCCTGAAAGGTACAAAAAAGAAGGTCCAAAGTTGCATCCTGAGGAGGTCCTAGGTGGGGTTGGTGGCCTTGCTGCTCCTCCTCCACAGCATTGCAAGTGATCCTACCTGTGCCACCTGGACACTGCTGTCCCAGTACTCAACCATCCTGCTGGGCCTGCATTTCCAGTGCTTGTGAGTAAGTTGGTGAGAGACTGTAAATGAGTGAAATATGTTTTATTTTAACTTGACATCAGCTTCCCCTATTATACGGAGCTGTTGTGTTGTTGGAATGTTATTTTCTACAGTTCAATCTTTGCAGCCCATTTTGCTGGTGAAGCCATTGATAAAAAATATTGATTTGAAAACAGAGGAAAGATAAGTACATCAATTTGTACTGTACTTTAAAACTTCTTTCAGCTATCAGTGATGATGCCTCCCTTCAGCACTCAGGTGCTACTCCTTAGGTTAAAAACCTCCCCTTCTGCCGCAAGGGCCCCTCACAAGGAGTGTCAGGTGCAAAAAGAAGTCCTCAGAGGCATTCCCTTGACAGAAGGAAGACGTTGATTGAGCCTTCCTTGACTGTCAGAGTGCAGCACCAATTTGCAGTGTATAGCCTAAGAGAAAAGGCACTTCAGCTGGGAGAATAATTTGCAATAATGAGGAGCAAAATTTAAATTTTTCAGGATACCTCTTGTCGAACAAAAACATACCAAAGTCACTGTGAATTTTAAAGTGCTAATGCATTTGACAGGCATTTCCTCTGGGTACAGCTCCATAATGCACATCTGATTTGCAAGTCATTTGTTTTGACTTATAAACTGCCACTGTTGAGAAAATGCCATCAGAAACTTGAAGTGTGACTGGAGCTCCTCCATCAGCACTTCTGCTCSTTGCCTTTCCAAGGGTAAGACAAATAGTAAATAAGAGAAAACTGTGTGTAGGTGTCTGTGGAACATGGTGTTAGGAGGGAATATAACTGAGYGGGTTGGCTGGTTGGTTCCTTACTGTGCCAGGAATGATCTGTAACTGTCTGCATCAGGCTCCTCTGTGAGCTGCTCTGATTTTATGAGGTAAAAGRTGGTTTGCATAGGATGAGATGCTGTGTTAGAGTAATGTGACTGTGTTCACAAAGCCAGAAGGTCTGGTCCAGAAATCCCTCAATCAGATYACGCACCTCTAAAGATGGCTGAGAAAAACATAGTCTTTTCTTATAAACTGCACTATTTCATGTACTGTGATCAGATGGAGCTCAAGTTTCAACCTTGAGTGGAACTAGTGATTCCTGACGAGCCTCCCCCTGCTCTTCCAGCTCCCTTACCAGGAAAGATACCTCAGGAAAAGAAGGACTGAGCCTGAGTGTTTAATATGGAGGGGGAAAAAAAATAAAAATCCTTCTGGAGGAGAACTGCAATAAAATAAGTAGTAGATGGGCTAACTCTGCAAAGAAGGAAGAAAACACATTTTTTTGGCTAGAGAGCCATAATCAGCTATGGCAAAACAAAAGGCCTTAGAAAGAATTCCTCACATCTCCTAACTTGCATTTAGCTCTTTTCTCTAGTGAAAGCTAACATATTGCAGGACAGATGATTTTTCCTGCATTTTTTTTAACAGTGCTTTACACTTCCTGGGAGTTGTTTCTATATGACTGTAATAGAGCTGTCAAAATAACAGCTTGTGGCAGAGGATGTGATCGCACATCTCTGTCGCGTGCTGCTCTGCAAACGTGGGCACCTGCTTATAAGGAAAGGCTCGAAGGCAGGTCCAAACCAAGGTGATTTCACCTCTAAATGCAAGCTGGGTCCCCCTGCAAACTCAGCAGAACTTCCTGGCCAAACGTGACCTCAGGTGGGAGGCAGCAGCAGGACTGGACGTGCAAAGTCAAATGAGTGGAAACATGAGGACAAAATATGGATGGAGTAGAGTCATTGTGCATCAACATCTTCCTGGCAGATGTCAGTCTTTTTTCCCCCTTTTTTCCCCATTCTCTCTTTCTTACTTACCTAAACTAGCCTAGAGGTGCCTGAGCAAGGCCAGCCTTCCCCACGCAGGAAGGCGACCTCCCTTGAAGGCTGAAACTGCAGCCTATGTGGGGCCGATGCACCAACTCAATCAGATGCTTAAGCGTCTCTGCAGGAACGATCACTGCCATTTAATTTGCTGATTAGTGTTGTCGTATCTATTTGTAGAATACAGTATAATTTATGGTGAGATCCCTGGAGGATCTTCAGCGAATGCTACAAGTAATTGAACCCACTGATTTCTAAAGGTCAGAGGAAAACTGAGCATTATTAAAACACAAATTATGCGGTGATGAGACCAAGCAACTTTCCATTTCAAGTTCACTCTTATTGATTATTGCTGCAAGCTGATCTGCTATTGGAGGTATCTGCTACTGCAAATAGGAAAAATCAGGAAGCCGGCCCTTTATTTAGCAAAATCCTGAAACAAATTTGCAATCCTCTCAGTAAAGACCATGCAGCTTTTGAAGAATTTTTGAAGAGAAGCAAGGTAAAAAGGGGCTCATATTGCTGATTTTCAAGGCAAAGAGGGAGGACAAGAGAGTCAGTTGGGCAAACATCAGGAAACTGTGTGGGTTGTTTTATGAAACTGTCTCTCTGAGGACCGTGGAGGCAGAGAGCTGCTATTTGCACTCGCTGCTCTATCTGCCACTGCAGCCACTCRGCTGCTTCCTGCCTTTTGACAGGGTTAGCCCCAGGGTGTCCCCTGTCAGCCCAAGTAATCCTGTCCAGGTGGTAAAAGTTACAAAAATGAGGGCTTCTCCTTTGATTGGTACTTTCTTCGGAGGTGTGGAGAACGTGTGTGTTTGGGAGGGGTGGGAGGGTTGTCTATTGTGGGTGGGAATGAAATGGAGCGGAAGGGGAGACAGTGACCCAGGGGTGGCAGCCCCAGGGCCGCTATCTTGCGGGAGCAGCACTTTGCTCCRGGAGGGAGCTGGCGGATGGGACCAGCGATACGAAGCCATCGAGTCCCTGTGGGGCTGCAGCAGGCAGCTTGCTGCTCGATGGCAAGCTGAGATGTCCTTGCAGGAGACAACTTCTGCCCGCTCCTGCCCCCAACCTAAAAAGGAAAAATTAATGTACTTGCAAACCAGATTTTTTTTGTAATTGCACTTTTCTGGCTGTATCTTCAGAAATCCGCCTGTATTTTTTGGGCAGCRATAGCCTCATCTGCTTCTCGGAGTRGCTCCTCACAACCAAGTCGATGGAAATTTTATTTCAGAGGCTTGGCACGAGCAGGCAAGGCCAGGCAGGGAGTGGGTGGAATCAGTGGCTGCGCTTTGAAAAGCGCATCCATCACCCGCAGTCTGCTCCTGGCCTCTGCACCCAGCGTTGTGTTTAACAGGCGTTTATAGGGCACACACCACCGCTTTCTGCAAGCAGCTCCTGCCCATTAGCCTGTTGCAAAGGGAAAATAACACTGAAATGTTCRTAAATCTTGTGACCCGAGTGCCTGTTAAAAAGGGTAGATGCGTTGCCTCAATAAAAACCCTCCCCAAAAMAAACCAAGCAAATCTTTCTGTGCCTTTTGACTGCAGGAATATTTATATGCTGCAAATCTTCTTTTTGAGTTGCTCTGCAGATTGTCATCTGGGCGTGCTGCAGGCTGCAGTGTGAGCTGCGAGGGGACTGAGCTGGGGCTCTAGGGCCTGAGAGCCCACAAAGGGCTTAAAAGCAGGCCTTACTTTACAGCGCTGGGGCTAGGTTATGTGTGTATACATACATATATATGTGTGTGTGCCTAACCTTAAGTGTGCGCTGTGGCGCTGTGATGGATCAGGGTCTAAATATCCCGGGATATTCCAAACAGAGGCATCCGTCAGCAGCGCCCGCCCTGCTCCGCTTGCAGCTACGGAGCTGCCATAAATCCCACGGCAGCCCCGGAGCCGCCGGGGAATAAGCAGGCAGTAAAACGCACTAATGTACCCCGAGGGCAGCTGAGGATGAGCGGCCACCTGCAATGCTGTGGGGGCTGTGGTCCTTCGTATATCCCGTGGGCACGAGGCCACGTTCAGCTGGAGCAGCCCCTGTGCATCAGACAGGTTTTCTTGCCTTAATTTAGGGCTTTCTGGGGAGAAAGCAGGGGCATGCAAAAAGCTGATAAATAACTGCTCAGGCTGCTGGGGCTCTTGCRTAAGAAGGCTGTTATAGAAAGGAAGGTGTAGGCCGGTGTGAGACAGCACATAAAGATCTCTTTTAAAGAAAGTAGGTCTGCTTTTTTAGGGGGGAAATGGAAATTAATAGCTTTCCTTGAAGCTTAACAACTTTGAAGAAAAGGATGTTTTCCTGTACCAATGAGTCTGTTTTGCTGACAGAACAAAGGTGCAGGAATCCTGGGCAAGAAAATGATGCTCGATCACGAATTTCATATACAACTGTCTCTGAGATGAGATGATATGTTGTGTCACCAGCTGAGCACAAGACAGAAAAAATGATTTAATGGCATGAATGGTTTCTGAAGGGAGCTTGACAAGTATTTGTTCCAAAGTGTCCAGCTACTTGTCTTCCTTCCCAAGCACAAATGATGATTAAATTGTCAGAAATACTAAGCAGAAAGCATTTTTATAGTCATCTTGGCATTAATGCAGATTTTCTTTCTTTCCTTTTTTTTTTTTTTTTTTTTTAAACCACCTCTGTAGAATGCAGGATTAATAGATTAATACACAGGATAATTTTTAATCCTAATCAGAAAGGCACTGCTTACAAATCAGACTTAAGCATCTTCAAAAGGGATACCAGAGATAGGCTGCTTGTGGGGTGTGTTAACAGAGGCTGCAATTGTGTTTCRCCCACAATTATTTACAGAAAAATAGGGGAGGATTTGACAGTGTAATGTGTTCTCAGTGCAAAGAGCTAAATGCACCGCATTTTGCCACAGCCTCCTTTAACAAGCACAGCTCATAGCTCGTCAGCTCTCCGCGCTGCCGTTTGCTTTGTTATGGCAAGGTTATTAAAGCTGCGGGAGTGGAAATGCTCTGTAGCTCAAATTCATAATGCAGATACTGTAACCCCCTATGTCTTCCATGTAATATATGCATTTGGGGACGCAGCAGCGAGTGCCTGAAAGTTGTTCTTCACTGTGTGCGATTTATGAGCCGGTCAGACTTGTGGGCTTGAAAGCAGATGTGTTGCAGTAATATAGTTCTGAGTTATGTTTCTCGGGTTACATTTCTCTCTCCATTTGGTTTCTGATCACTATTTCAGGTATACTTTTACATTTTGGATGCAAGGTTGGTGGAAAGCTTCTTTTGGAAAAAACACTGCGCCAATGTAAGAAACGGGATTGAACGAAGGCTGTAAAGCAGTGCACTGGATATGGAAAAATAACAAGCAGGTAGCCAGCCTGCCTGCTGGTAGGTACGTTAGCTGGATGCTGCCAGTATTTATTGCTGTTTACTTCTGCGTTACTTATTTCTGTTGCATATCTGCATTGGGAGGGTACAGCTATATTCACGCAAGGAGGTGATTCCCTGGTTTTCAGTGCCTCCTTTGCTGTGGGCCCAAGCTGCTTTCTTTGCAATTAGCAAAACCCTTAAGCAGCTGCTCTTGCATGCGGGGGCAGCCTTGCTCCTCTGCCTGTTTTGGGCTAGAACTTGCCAACAGGACAGCGTCCCCAGGGATGCTGAGATAAGGGCTGCTCAGTCTGCGTGTGTGCTACCCTAGGTCACCCTGACCTCYGTGCCCCAAGGGCTGTCCGTGCTGCGGGAATGGGGAAGGATGCCACAGGCCCTGGAGCAGGGGCAGACCGGGTGCTCGTGTTCGCCCTGGCACCGCATACGTGAGAGGAAACACATATTTGGAGAGGGGTAAAGCTGTCCCGAGCTGGGCTTTGTGTGCTGCAGGTAACTGAATAGTTGTGAGCTCCATGTGCTTTTCCTGCCATCGTCCCAGGGGAGCATTTCCAGGAGAACAGCCTAGTGAGTGACACAGACCTGCTCTCAGAGGCGCTCCTGGCCGCCCAGGAACCTGCCCAYGTGGGGAAAGAGAGCAGAAGTTGGTCCTGAGTAAACAGGGTCTTTTATAAGCAGAGCAGCCAGGCTGAGACAGCATGTGGCCAAGGGTTCATCATTTCTCCTTCTCTTCTATAAGAGACCTCATAGCTCTCATGTATCTCTCGTATATGTCTTATATATCATGCTATTGCCTTGACCTCCTGCATGTGAAAATGCTGGGGAAAGGGAAGACATGRGGTGTCTGTGGGAGGTTGCCTGGGTTTCTATGTCTGGCAGTTGCCCCCGTCCATGTTTCTTCCTTCTCAAAGGTGTAAGAGCAAGAGCTCTTGTCCAGCTCGCAGCAGCATGCGGTGGCCCTGCGTTTGCCTTGGGTAGAAAGGGACTTCGGTGCAGCGGCAACTGAACCATGAGAACAGTAGAGGAAGGTGCCCTGTCTGTGCTAGAGAAAAACGGAGTCTTTTATTGAATAAAACAAGCATTGCTTAGCGAAGCTATGTTATTCCTTGGGAAGGATTTATGTTGAATGTACTCCGGTGATAATATATATAGTTAATAGAATACCAAACAATATGCTACCTAAATCTGAAGAGCCCATTCTTCCAGCTAAGMAAAGCTAATACAAGGAGAAGAGGGTGTACTCTCCCTAGACATACTGGGGAGCAAAACAAGCTTGCTACATTCACCAGCTCTAGACAGTTTCAGCTGTTTAATTAAAAGAATGAACACTSACATGCCAGGAAGACTTACAACTTGATTTTCAGAGACGATGAGGGCAAGCTATTGATTCCATTAGAAACAATGTGCTCAGTGCACAGGAAAAAGGGCCATGGACTCATCAGCACAGCACTGGCCTCAATACCTGTTTCAGCCACATCACCCTAAATATGGAGTTCCTAGGGAAAGGGAACAATAAATAGGTGAAATTTTCAGAAACAACTTTTTTGTTGTTTTGTTTAGTTTTCAAAGCAGGGAGATATGCCTAGGTAATCTAGAATGTCAGCAGGACTTGGCACCTCTGAAACATTCTACCCAGTGTCTTAACTTGTCCTTCAGAAAATATGCCATAACCTCGATATCACAGAGATACCACTTAACTGAAAGTGTTACGAAAAGATTTGCTAGACTTCATCAATGTATTTATTTTTACTTGCCCAAAARTAGAACATTTGCAGGCATTCAGGAACCAAACTAGCGTGCAGTGAATTTGTTTTCAACTCAAAAAAATGTAGCTGGCTTGGACTGTTCCCTTTCAAAGGTATGATTAGGCAGGGTTCCGCCTTTTTAATTATCACAAATAGAAATGCAATCGTTCGGTGACATCTCCCTGGCCTGGTTTCCAATGCTCCTTGGATTTAGCTTTGGATTTCAAAGGGGCGGCGAAGGTTTTTTTGCATTTTCTGATTGTTCACTGCTTTATTGCTGATAAATTTAGCAAAAACTTCCAGCTGTGCTGAGACTATGGAAGCAGTGGAGGGTTGAGGTTGAAGCTTGACTAGAGTGTATCCTCTTTTTTGCAACTCATTCTGGCTCTGAATGACAGTTATTGAAATGATATGCACACACTTTCTATCATACATTTTTATGTGGKTTTTCCCTTCGGTAGATTAATTTTCAGTGAATTATTTCAGTCTGATTACTAAAAAAAAAATCCTTACTAAAAAATCCTCTTGATTAAAGTTAAAGCAACTTGTTCGATGTTGTTTGCAAGGAGTGTTTATTTGAGGACTAGTTGAATTCTTTAAGTATGCTTCAACCAGAAATGCAACAACAAAGCTGATAAGATGGGATCTTGTCTTCTGAATGTACAGGGCACACCTGAATCGCCTGAAGTTAAGCCTAAAAGGCAACTTTTTCTTTGTTCCCAGTCTTTGGATTAATTTAAAGTTCTGCGTGAGGAATAGTCAGTGGCCAAAGCTGTGTGTATATAGACCATAACTTCCTTCCTTCCTCTCCTGTCTGCAAATGCCTGGAGTCCCCCCCCAGGCTGGGACTAACCCTGTCTGGAAGCTATTTCTGTCTGGGGGAAAGAAACAAAAGAGAAATTGGCACCCAAGAAGTGTTTTATGGACCTCTACAGTGTAGGGTGCTCTATGCTTCTGCTCTATGCTTTTGCTATGAGCTGGTGGCCCATCTGCCCCTCTCACTTGCCACAGCGATGCTCTCGGTTTGCTGTGGGCAGGAGGGATGTGGCTCTTCCCTTTTGTTGCTTTTAATGAGCTTATTTCCTTCCACTTGCCTCAATTAGCCGCAGTTGCCTTTAGAGCCAGCAGAGCCGTGCCAATTTATCTGAGCAGGCCGTGGGGGTTTGTGCCCTTTATCTGAGGAGAAGCCTGTCGGAGGGAGCGATGCCGAGTTTATTCGCTCCTGATGCTTCCCAGCGCTCTCCCACTCTTGTCCCTTTTCCAGAGCTCCTCGGCTCTATTAGTAATCCAGGCACCAGCTCCCGTCTCTCCTGTTGTTCTACAATTTCACGCCTTCCCACGAGCGCGCCTGCTATCTCGCAGGTTCATAAAGCCTCTCTCTTCATCATCTTTATATCCCTTTTGCAGAATAGCTGCTGTCATGGTGCTGGTAAGAAAATCTTTTTACCTATTTAACGTTGCTATGGCCAGAAATTGATTTTTATGGGGAGAGGAGAGACTAAGGGAGGAAATGATGAAAAAAAAATTAAATAGAGAGTGTACCCATCAAAACTTCTTTAAAGGAAATCACTAAAGATGTGGCACTAATGACTTTTTGCACACGTTTTTCTTTGAATTTTTTGTTACGTTTTTCATCAGCGTTTTTATTAAAAACCATTATTGGTGCTTTCTTAGAAAGAACTGCCAATATTTTTTATTTAGTTTCTTCCTCAGAATTTTAAAGTGATTCTGTATAAATGTTTCACTCTAAAAGGGTCGTTTGGAGGGTGTGGAGGGGAGAATAAAAAGAAAGCCCTAGTGTTAACGGAGGGCAGTGTAAAGTGCCCCATGATGTGGGACATTGCTTGATTTCAGCAATTGTGTTCAGCAAGGCTTCCTCCTGGTCACAGCACCCTCAGTGCATTGCTTTCCAGCTGGTAAACAAGATCTCAGCAGAATTCCTGGATTGTGTCAGTGAGTGTCATTTGATTTCCTCTCCAGTTAATCAAATATTTTAATCTCCATCCTTTGGCAGCTCTGGGGCACAACCGTGTGCTGCAGACCCYGCTCCCTCCTTGCTGCACTAAGGATCTTGCAGCCACACGCTTGGTGGCTTGAGAATGGAGACCGTGCAAAGGCACCCCAGCCTCCCAGTAGCACCAGTTGACTTGGTGATGAGTGGGTCATTTGCAGCCTCTCTGTTGTATCTGGTGCTTCATCAACCTTGATGTATGTCTGCATTGCAGTCACAGGAGTTCCTCATACAGAGGAACATGGGTACGTTCGAATCCTGGGTGGCGCTTAGCCATAGCAGCACAAACTAATTTACTTGTTTGTGCTTGTTGAGTACCAACAAGCACTTGTTGGTGTAACAAGTGCACAAGTGTGCTCAGCACAAACTAATTTACTTGTTGGTACCCAAGCTACTTGCTTTTAAGGCTAGTTCCCTATCCTTAGATTATTCTGTGCTTATGCATAGGCTGTCGTATTGGTACAGTTTAGTCTTTGCTTCTTTAAAATACCCTCTGTGATGGAGAATATTATAGATAATTGTCTGATATAGCAATCAAGCCACAGAAAATTTAAGTGCAAATTTAGGTCTACAGGGTGAGCAACCCTCTGAATGTAGGCACCTAAACCACCCCAACTCACCTTGCTCAGTAGTTCCTGGATTTATCTTGCTGTCCTTAGGAATTCATCCCCACAGGTTACAGGGAACTTCCATGTGACCTCACAGAGCAGAGCAAGCTCGGATTTGCCTGAGCTTGGTCCATTAGTCCACTGCCCTTTACAGTTTTTATGGGCAGACATCCAGGTGACCATATTGAGCGTGCTGAGGAAGAACATGTCTGGGCAACAGGCAACACCTAGTAAGGGGGCACCACTTGTGTACTTAAAGGGCACAAGAAGACAGTAGATGTTGTGCCAATATTAGAATATAACATTTTAGTGTCTCCTGAGAGCTTCTCCTTGGAGGATTTGTTCTTCRGGGTTGTGTAACATCTTTCCTTTTGCATTGACCTCTGAGATAATGTGCATCTTGAACGCAGTATTATCAAGAGAGCCAGGCCGTAGCTTGGGAGTTGGTACAAGGGCACATGAGATAATGGCATTATTTCCAATAAGACAATTGCTAAATTTAAGTCTATTATTGAATCCAACAGAATACTGTATAACTTGGCACCTTATGTAGGGTGTGTACCTACATAAAGTAGTGTTGATAAGGGCAAAAAATTAAAGGTTGAAAAGAAGGCTGAAGAAAGTAGCTTCATGAGAATGTGGA